TTATCCTGCTCTGATTTTGATTGGCAATAAACTAAATTAATTTTCCCAAGCTGAGTCTGTTTTGCCCTTGATGGTAACTGTTGAGTGATCTCTCCCTGTCCTTATCTTGACCCATGAGCTTTTTGTTATATTTCCTCTCCCCTGTCCAGCTGAGGAGGGGAGTGATAGAGCGACTTGGTGGGAACCTGGCATCCAGCCAGGGACAACCCACCACACAGGGAAATGAAGACTAGTTACTTGCATTTTTCAGAGAACCTTACTGTTGGATAGCAAGCAAAAAGTAAATACTAAAGTAATTAATGCAATTGCAGCACGTTGTTTAGTGAGGTGCAGCAGGGACCGTTGTTAGAACTTGTTTTACAAGCATTTAACATTTTCATTAATAATCTGAAAGAGAGGGTTCACAGCATGCTAATTAAATGAGGAGATAATTCTAAATTGAAAGAAGTCACAAAGCATCAGTGAGGACTGAGACATGATGTAACAGGACTGAAAAAGGAAAGAGAAAATAAGATTCAAACTTGGAACTGTGCAGTCAGAGGTATCTTAATAAAAACTGTCCTATGCAGGAGAGAGTGAATGAGAAACAAGAAAACAATAACACTGAAGGAATAAGTGAACTGGATATTGGTTGACATGTGATGCAGAAGCTAAAAAGACTACTTTTTAAAAAGACTACTACTTCTGAGCTGCCAGTGAAGAAGTATGTCCCTTGGATAGCTTACAGCAACTTTTAGGAGCTCAAGGATGGAAGGAGTCGCACACTTTTGTCTATGAGGAAGAAAATTAAGAAGGTTGCACTCAAGATCAGGCAAGTGGCAAGAGAGGTTCATTTAAAAAAATACATGTATTTGAAGAATATAAAAACCAGAAGATTGGAAATTTGAATCTGATACAAAGTTTTCAGTAATGAAAAGAACTAACATGAGCTGGGATAGTTAAGGCAATGGTTCAGTATATCACTAGACAAGATAGTATAAAGACATTTCTATCAGGCACGAGGATCAATGCATTATAGCTTTTCCATCTCCTATGATTTCTTCTAACAGTTAAGGCAGTAACTTCTGTTTAACGAGTTGAGTTTATTCCTAAATCTCACTGGAGTAAGTAAGATACAATGCTGCTGTGAAGTTTAAGCACACTGTAATATGAAATCAATGCATCTCAGTGCTTAGAATTTTTCTGCTTTGACTGCAAGACTGCAGCTTTACAGATGGTCCAACAATCCACCGCAGCATTAAGAGGCATTTTCTGTTTGTTTTTAAGCACTGAAAATATCATTTGCCTGTGCATTAATCAAAATATTTTATGGTACCTCTCTTCCATTTTTTCAGTTGTGTCAGCTGATCTGTTACACTATATTATCTCTCACTAACAACCTTACATCTGTGCTGTAGGTTCCACAAATGACGTACAGCAGTACTTGGGTAAAATCCCAGCAATTTAGGAGCCCCGGTTCCAATTTCAGAAAGAAGAGTGGTAAATCCCAGCACCTGAATTTTGCTGTAAGCTCAGAGACAGGCCCTTTGTTATGTCCTGCTCCCTGTGCTCTGGGGTTTTCCCCATGTTGTGTGCTCCAGAAGGGGAACACTGGCCAGATGACACAGAGGATGAAAGACTGGGAAATGTGGGGTGGGCTTAGGGCTAGCTGGTGTAAGGTTAGGAGAGCAAAGTAATGGGTGACAATTGAAGAACGTTGCATTATTTCTAAATAATCCTGCAAGAGATAAATGATTCTGTAAAGCTCCATCAGTCAAAAGATTCCATTGACTTTAGTGTGATCCTTTAGCCACTAAGGGTATAGTGCCGTGGCCACATTCTCTCTTTGGGCTCACTTCTGTAACTGAACACAAATCCTAATTCGTGGACTGTCAGAATTGTCGTATTTCTGGTACCTCCTCTGAATCTCTCTGGGAACATTTCCCTTTAGTACAGGGTCCTGCAAGGAAACAGTTCTTATGACTGTTTAAATTGTCTCTCAGCTGGTTTGGTGTCCTGAGAACCACTGTTGCAGGACTGAGGTTTGCACAAGCCACGTGTGAGTAATACTCATGTAGCCTCAAGAGCCATGAGGGAAGGTGGAGCAGACGTTCCTCACCAACCCTCTGTACTGCTATGCTGCGAGTGTAGGACTTCACTGGACAGCCTTCTAGGCTAAAAATGATAACAAAACATGTCCCACTAAGCAGAGTGGCAGAAAAGCAGAACTTTCTCCCGTGCAGTGCACAACTAAAGCACGCAATTTGTTACACAGCTTCCCTGCACACGAGCATCCATGGGTAGAAAACATACTGCAGATTCCAGCTGCGACTTTATTTTTTTGTCAGAAAATAACTACTATGTACGCCTTTTCTGCAATATGTATTGAGTGCATGCCACATCTCCAGGGCTCCCAGTAGGTCTGAGTACACACATAAATTTACACGTCTCAGTGTGCAACCATGAGGCAGCAAGGCCAGGCCAGAACTATAGAGAGTTTTAATGATGTGACATTAATTAATTTGTTATGGGTGCTCTTGAATACCATCTTGGTTTTTTCTTCCTGCTTCTTTCTTTTTAATTAAATTCCATTAACAAACTGTTACCCTTTGATTATATTCTCAGCCACAACTGACTCAGCATACTTCACTTGTTGAGGTGGGAAGTACCTAATTAGGATGCCAATCTTCTTTCATGTTGCTTCTTTATAATAGAAGTAGTACTTCCAGTTGTGTTGGAGAGGTACGACTAGTATGACTAGAGGCATTAGATGAACAGAAATCCTCCTCAGAGAAGAATTACCGTTAGCTGTTGCCTTTCAAACCGTCTCGACTCGCAGAGAGGTCTCTGCTACTTTTCAGTGAAGAAATCAAGAGACAGGTTCTCCAAGCCGTTGCAGCAGAGGAGCAGGGGTATCCACACAACTACATTTAGAGTTTGTGCACCTCAAGTGAACTTGCCCTGCATGTACATCCACACAGCAGAAGTAGCAAGCTGGTGCTTTTTGACAATAAATACCCTAGAATCAGCTGCCATGGGGGTTCTGAGTGTTGACAGGAATATGGCTGGCTGGCTGAAGAGATCATTTAACCCTGTTAGTAATGAGGTCATTTGAAACAAGCTCCCTGCTACTAACTATCACTTGGTTCCAGTTGATTCCTCACTTGCTTTGGTGCTCCTATTTCATAAGCACAACATGAACTGCTGAGTTTAAGAAACTGCATAATCTGCAGATTTTGGTAAAAACAGAATTGCCTCAATGTTGTGTCAATTACTGCCAGACTGATTTTCTTTCCTTTACTCCCTGTTTGTGTGTGCAGATATACACATGTGTGAACACGTAATTATTGTGTACCTATGTACAGAATGACTGTATAATATCTTAATAAAGACAATATTGTAATCTAACTTATAAATATACACATTACACTACAGGAATAAGGATTTTCCTTACCTATTTCAGTCATGGATATCCCCGGAGCTAATTGCCCATTGTTGAAAGAGCTATAGGTAAACAAGTTTGGTACAGAGGTGAGGTCATAGATAGGTTCCTGCTTTATCTGTTTGATTCCAGTCATGTCTAACCCAGACTGGTCTGGGGAAGGCTGGGCGGAATCCACATTATAATAACCCTCAGACTTCGGCAGGTCAATGACGTGCCCGTTTGAGTAGGTGCTGCCAGTTTCGTTATTCAGGTTGCTCAAGCCGTTGCTGATGCTGTTGCTGTAAACCCTGGCGAGGGCTTCTGCCTCACCGCTCTGCTGCTGCCGTTGCTCCTGCAGTCGTTGCTGGTGCTTCTGCACTTCAGCGTACAAGCTATCCCTCTGCTTTTTGGACATTCTTCCAAACTTCACAGCTGAAAAAACAAAGCACAATATGAACCATTGTCATCTTTCATTTTTCTTGAATTCCCTGAACCTCACCACTCTTTTGATATTTACTTTCAGCATTACTTTTGCTGTGGAAACTTGCCTTTTTTTGTGGAAATGAGAGAGGATGCAAAGCTTTACACCGCATGCATCTCACAAAGGAAAAAGTATTGTGTGCTTGGATTTACAAGGTGATGACAATGACTGCTATTTGACAGGAGGGCCTCAGTCAAGCAACTCACTTCCCACTGTGAATGTTAAAAAGACCATGCATCCTTTTATACCTGTTCGCTGAACAACAACCCAGAGCTGTATGAAGTGCACAGTCTGTAGATTCATATCCTATGTGATTCACCAACTTTCCACAAACCTTTAAACACTGCACTAACAGGATTAGTACTCTGGATGAAAACAAGCCCTAAAGCCTTATTATTGCATCCTTTCAATGGGGTGTTATCTTCACACTTTAAAAAAAAAAAAATCTTACAGGTTGGAGTTAGAACCTAGAGGAAAATAACAGATTTGAAGGTAAACAGCACAAATGAATGTCGTCTTTTCCACAGAGGAAAGTCTCAGGGATTTACACAATCAATTTACATAATCTCCATGCACAAATCCATGCATTCCCTCTGATGAGAAAGGACGGAAAACATCAGAGTGCAAACCACTCTCCCCAGGATCAGGGTTCATTACACTGAGATTGAAATTTTCAAAAATGACAGGCTGATTGCTGTGGAACTAGGAGGAGTAAATCCACAGCCTGCACATACAGTGGGTCACCGATGATTATCTCCCCCCACAGCCCCATGTCTCTGTAAATTCTGGCTTTCTACTGGGCTAGATCTTGGGATCTCAGAGCAGAGGTAGGTGTTAATTAAAACAAATGAGGGATACATTCAGCAGGGTTTATCAGACCACAGATAAGAGGACATTGCTTTGGAAATAGTAATTTCTACATATTATGAGGTGTATTTTCCAATGCTGAGTATTTCTAGTCCCTCTGTAATTGGGATCAATTCAGAATCATCACATTTATTAGAACAGGAGGGGTTTGGCTCGCATTTTTGCTACCCCATAGTTCAGCTATAGCCCCCCAGAAGAGTCTGAGCCTACACATGTGGATGAATGTGAAAATCTTCAGTCAGGAAAAAGAAGAGAAAAGGAGGAACGTAATATGAAAAGGCAGTGCCAGAACACCAAGGAGATGTCAGCCTCTTCAATTTATTTGCACTTTTTTACACTAAGGTTTTTTTTCTTGTGCCAACCTCAGCTCACTTGCAACGCTTCACACAGGCTGCAAGCCACCTCACATGAACACAGCCTGCCCCTTGAATCAGTCCACAGGGCATTGCACACCCTTACAGACAATATACAATGACTGTATTCTGAAAAATGCAACTGTGTATTTTCTTCAAATTTAGGGCCTCAGTAATAAAAACAAACACCCACTGTTTATTCTCATTACATATTCATTAATTGGATTCTCCAGCTGCTGTCAATTAGCATCCTGCCTCTGCTTGATAAAAATGAATCTGTTACATGGCTGAGAGGTAAAAATCACATTCAATTTCCCTGTTTAAAAAAATCTATACAGCCTATTTTAAACTTGCAAGAGCTCTTAATATCATTAAGTATAAACACCCTTACATAAACAATGAGAGAAGAAAGTGATGCTATCAGGAGAATCACTCCCTTTGTCTGCATGCAGTGGTCCCTGAATTACAGGTTGGGAACACAGTGCTGTCAGTCACATTATAATGCCCCTGTGATACCTTAAATCATTAGAAAATATTACTTCTTGGAGGAAAGCACATGCTGTTAAATAACTGAAATATTACTACTTTAACCTCCTCTGGGAAAGATCGGGAGCTAAGGCATCAAGTAAGTTGCATGCTAGGTCCAAAAAGAGTTCATGGATTAAAGGCTAGACTGCAAGGGCTCTCCCAGACTGGTGAGCAAGTTGTTTCTGTGAGACATGGGATACACTGAGGGAGGAAAAGACCTATCAGAGTCCAAATTTAAAGCAAGTTTATAATCTGTGAACTGTGTAAAGAGATAACTCTTCAAGCAACTTCTCCATCAATGACTGTTAATTTCAAATGACACATTTTGTGTAAACTCTCTAAGACCGAAAACTGCTGCCAGGCAATCGAAATTAATATAACCTGCCTTCAAAAACAGAGCATTTTCTTCTCATACTGCCTGGTCATTTAAAATATGTCTCTGAGCTGGAAACGCCCTGCACAAGCAGTGGTGGCTGGGGCAGGCTGGCTGTGGGCAGCCTTGCTGAAGCCTCCCGTTGCCCGCAGCTCTGGTGTGGTGCATGTTCCCAGCCTGCCGATCATGGCTCGTCACTCCATAGCTTGGAAGGTGGACCAGAGCTTAGCAAGGACCAAAGGATCCTGCTGTCAGGTACACTGTGGAGCTTTCCTCTGGTGGACTGTCCATTTTCAGTCCTAAACTATGAAACTTTTCTTCTGTTACCCCAGACAGAGACAGAGGGCAATGTACAGGTAAAAGAAATGTTTTTTTAGCAAGACAAAATATTTGGTCAAGTGCTTTGAATAAAACTAACAGAAACCCCTAATGCTCTCAAGGTGTAAATTGCTTAACTGCCTATGTACTGCCACAGATCTTTAGAGATCTCAAGGAAAGGGATGCTTTCACACATCAATATTTTATATTAAGATAAATGTTAATGATTGATATAAGAAGTTCTTTAAACTGGAATATAAATCCAGCTCTCCGGAGGTGACCTTTCTGTGCTTTTGATCAGAACAACACATTTCATTTCTTACTCTTTCTGTTCCAAACTAATGCTGCTCTCCATTTTGTGATTTCCCCACCCTCCCCATGAAAACAGCCTCCTTTGTTAACTGAACAGCAAAGATCTGTGTCTCACAGTGCGTGCATTACAAAGCAAGGAGCTTCTCCTCTCTCTTTTTCCAGAAATCCACAGGGAGTTTAAGTAAGTCAGCAGCGAAGAAGAGTTTTAAAGGCTTTAGGTGTGAAGCAGGAATCCAACTCCTTACCATCTCGAGACATTCCCAGGGCAAGACATTTCTGCAGTCGGCAGTGTTGGCAACGATTTCTGTTGGTTCTGTCAATTAAACAGTTTCTCTGCCTTGGGCAGGAGTAGGAGGCATTGTTCTGCTGACTCCTCCGAAAGAATCCCTAGGGGCAAGAGGGCAAGAGAGTCAGAGTATTACCATGTGCATGTATGTGCGCGCACACACACACACAGAGAACCACGTAAACGACTACAGTAAACTCTTATTTAGTGTAATGCTGCTTATGCTTTGACTTTGCAGATGTGTTGTCCTTGTATATTGAAATTAAAGAACATTTACTTATAATAAGGAGAATTGTGCTTTATTCTGTAAGGAATGTAATTCTACTTTTTAAAATGCAAACAATAATGTTACAGAATACATTCTTATTGTGCAATAACAACTATGTATCATCTAACACTTGCTCCTAATAGAGGAAAAGCTTGTCAGCATTTATAAACCGGTGACTTAAAAGTACTTGTGCTGACTATTTTCTTCCTTTAGTGAAAGAGGCTGGTAATAACCAGCACTGGCTATGCATAGCATTAGAAGCTGAAGTCTGCTGTTCCATTTAACCTGGCAAATGTTGATCTGATCTGGAGGGATCATACACTTCAGGAGTGAAAAGTAATTCAAATACAAGCATCACAAAAGCACTAGGATTTAATGACTGTATCAAGTAAAGCCAACACACAAAGGAGAAAGCAACACCTTTAGACACTACCATGAGAAAGTAATGACATTTTCCATTTCAATGGTATATAACATTATCCATTTTATCTATGTAAAAATTTGTAGTTACTCTATCCCTGAGAAGGTTCTTCTGGCCAGTTGTGGTCTCTTTGGTCAAAGATCAGAGGGCTAGAAGGAGAGTATTAACCCATACCTAAGGCCTTACGAGCTCCCAGCTGCTACGAACAACACCAAGAGGTATCGTTGTGGTTAGAAGTGACATGAAATGGCAGAGGTGACAAGAAGAATGAAAGCAGGGAGTGAGGATTAGAGAGAGAAAGAGAGAGGGAGAAGGCATTTTATTATATTCTTTCTTTTCCTGTAAAATAAAGGACGGGAGGAACAGCAGGTCCAGAGAGAGAGAAACAACGAAGAGAAGTCCCTTGGCCACTGTGGCATCTTTGGACGCAGGCAGCTGCAGCGTTTTGTGGTGGGAGGGCTGAAGGATAGCCTAGCCACCGCAGGAAGCCATGAACAGAGTATGGGCAGAAAGCATCACGACTGCAGTCACCACCAGTGATGCCAAAGTGGCTGTGCCTTTCTGGGCTGGTTTGCAAAGAGCTCTGAATGGAGCCAGAAAGCAAGAGCTGACTTCATTTATCAGGCAAAACCAGTGTTCCCTCTGCCCAGGCTGACAGGCGTAATACTGAGCAATGGACCCGGTCAGCCGTGCGTTTTGGGGGAACGAGGCTGCGGAAGCAACAAGGCGACAGTGTCACAGGGCTCAGTTCGCTTGCTGCAGGTAGTGCCTAAATTCTCACTCAAGTCTCAGTGAACCCACTGAGGATGGTGTGGGGTGTCACTAACAACAGGCGACAGGCATGGTGTCACACCAAGGACTCTGGCAGTGCTAATTCCTGAGGTTGAGCATAAAGAGTTGAATTTCTTCTGGCCCGTGCTGATTTTATCAGTGGTTATAGTTCATCTAAAAACTAAATCAAGTTTTATCATTTGCACTTTTGAGAACATGGATGCTCTTCAGGGTAGCACAGAAAAAATCTGGTGGGGACTTATCTGACCCTAGCTGACCAAAACTATCCTGAAACCGTGGAGGTGAGTTTAATTTAAGGCTAAATGGATGCTAACTGCAGATATTGCTACTTTATTTGCTGAACTTTACAGAAAATTTTGGTTTTGGTGTGTGAAGGATTTTCTGGTTTAAAGGTTTAGATTTTAGCAGCTCTTATGTGGATATGGATTTGTGAGAACAAATGAACTAAATAACGTTAAAAAAACCCACACAACCATCTAGCATTGACTGAGCCTTATTTTGTAGTGCTGTTTTTTCCCATTAAGGTTGATCTCATCTCAGAAGAATTTGTTTGTTCCTTCTTTGCCCCTCTTAGGAAAAAATCAAGGGTTACATAATGAAATTAATCTACAGCAGGTAATTTATTTTTCCGAGGAGACTTTTGTATTCTCTTTCTACTGCATAAGATCTAAATGTTGTCTTACAAAGTACAGACAATCCTTTCATTTTATTTTTAGGGGATCTTTATATAATATTGGCTGTATTTACTGAGAATGGCTCCATTTGTGGAAAGGAGGATGCGGTTCATTACTGAGGAGCTACGGACTTAAAGACAGATTTCCCAATGTTCCCAATACTGACAACAAATCTTTCTGCATCTTGAACAAGTCACTTTATCCATCACCGACAGTCAGTCTGAGAAGGGAAATGGTCACGCCAACTATTGTCTAAATCATGACAAAAGAGTGGTAGCAAATACTTTGCTCTGGGGGTAGGCAGGAGAGATGATAAAAGGCTTCTCAGCAGAAGAAGGAGACACAGAGACAGACGGGATGGAAACCTGTCTTCAGGTTTCACCCTTTCAGCGACGGTAGTGGCAGAGCCACCATTTTTTTCAGTGGGTCCAGCTGGTTATTCAGCGTATGCAGGCATGCACACGAAACAGCAGTAATATTTGCGATGCCCCTTAAGCACTTATAATGTGCATTTGCAGCAGCATAGCTAACGTAGGGATGCAGAGTTAAAGGGTTTCCTGCCCCTTGAAGTTTGTATCACTGACACCGGCAGTGCAGTCCTCAGATTCTGTGTCCTGAATCGCTGCGGCTCTCTGGTGCCTGGCTCACCCTGCGTGCATGCTTGTGGAGTGGTTCTCTCCTCTTTCTTCCACACATGGTCTCCCGCTTAATTAATTCAGATTTCTAATGTGTTCAGACAAAAGGAGCCAGAAATGACCAGTTGTTAGTGTGTGGGCTGAGTAAATAGTTATTTAATTGCTGGGCAACGAAGCAGCACTGCCCAAAACAACACTTACCTTAAAAGAGGGCTCTGACAGACTGAGATGCCTCCCATCGGACCCGATGTGAAAACTGACATCTTTTTTCACAACAGGCTCGCAAACCAAGATTAGACTAATTGATCTGATACTGCAAAACTGGCACGAAAACAATGGGGTTAAAACTGTCGTAAGTGGAAGAGAAGCTCTTTATCTTAACAAGCAGTCTACACACAGAGCTGAGGGTATCATCTCCTCTTGAGGCACACACAAGGGCCAGCATTAACCCTAATCACATCTGCAGGAGCCTCTACCCCTAACTGCTCTGTGGGCACCGACTACTGAGACAAGACATTGTTTTTCTGCTCAAAGCATTTTTCTCCTGTAGCTTTTGCGCCAATTTTGAAGTAACAGATCAATTAATCTAATCCTGTTTCATGTGACCATCATAAGAAGGTGCTTATTTCTAGTCCAGTGTCACAATAAGACAGTGACACGCTGCGGGTTTTTCCATTTGTAATTATTAACACTTCTGAAAGAAATCTGATCTTTGACAGTATGTTGCTTCTCAATGTGTGGGCATCAAAAGCTTTCTTTTGGGAACTGGTGCACCCAAATTTTCAGATTTTTCAGATGTTCTAAAATTTTGTAAACCATCAAGTAAATACAGACTTGCCATTTCACTCTACAGATATGCACCTACTTTCAAATGTACCAGTTTGTGTTTCCACACAGAAGAAATCAGAGATGCTACCTTTCCATCTTTGCAATTTCACATTTACAGTCAAAGCTGAAATATCCACATGTAGTATGAAATTCTGGTTTTCCATGAGTAACAATATAATTCTTTAGATAAAAAAATCACAGCGTACTTTTAAAGTTGAAAACTGAAGCCTTTTTTCTCTTGGCTTGCAGTCTGATTTGTGTTATTAAACTAATGCCTGGGATAATATGCTAATATGACTAAGCAACATGGAAAGGGTTTTTGCCTCTTTTTTTTTTTTTTAACCTTCAATTCCCAGCAACTGCCCTGTGCTGGAGCCTATAAGGAAGAAGACAAAGGATCCTTTTACACTACTTATAATGTAAGGCATTTTTTCCTTTGGAGATTACAATCTGGCCTGCAGAGAATACAAAGGGGATAAAATAGGACCAAACTGACACCTGTAAGCTTTTAAAGATGTTGAACTGAGATACCACGCCAACTTTTAATGCTACATGGATTGTATAGGAAAGAAGATAAGAAATCCATCTTTCAAGCTGATTTAAGGTAGAACAGGTGTGACTTACAGTTGCCAGCCTCTGTTTCAGCACTTATGCTGCATGAGATGTGATTAATTCATGTTTCAAACAAGAAGGTAACTCTAAAGACTATTTGATAAAAAGAAAAGTAACTAGTAAAATGAGGCATGAAACACGACTATATCAGCAGCAGGCTCTACAGCCTTTGGCACCACTTGTTTGAAAGCGTGTAAGCGTGTATTACTGTACACAGATGCCTGAGGCTAATGCAGATGCTGATGACTATGTTGTATTAAAATCTCATACCTTGCAGCCTTCACATGTGATGACTCCATAGTGTATTCCAGAGGACTTATCACCACAAATTTTACATGGTATCACTTCAATTTGCGCTGAAAAAGAAAAGACAAATATTTTGAGTACATAATTCTACTTAATTTCTTTCTTGAATGAATGAAGATCTTAAAAACTAGAGCTAGATAGCAGATAACCTGTTCACCCCCCCGACAGTATAAAACTGCTTTGTGTTGTACTGTGTGTTTCTGAATGCTTTGATTTGGCAAGTTTTAATTGCTTCACATTATGTAGTTTTTACTATATCCCACAAAACTTTTCAACGATTTAAGATACTTCACAATCTGCAAGTTTTTCCTCACATTCTCCTTTTTTGTATTTACTTGTTAATTTCATTATAATTATTGCTAATGACAGTAGTTAAGGGTCCTAAATAGTTATCTAGATTGTTTTTGCTTACAGATTGTTTCAGATATTTGTGACTTTGCATTTTGCTGAGGTAGAATGACATAGCATACTTTGATGCATTTTTCAAAGTAATTGAGGTGATGAAGTTTTCACATCCTTCAGCTTATGGCTTCAAGACACACAAAGGTACCAATCCCACTGGCAGAGGTAGGCTTGCAAATGATTGCTTAACCTCTCCGCTTCAAGTTATTTGTTTCAGCGCCGAGTCACAGGCAGGCAAGGCCTACAGACTGAGTTGGGTAGCCAGTGGCTGTGTTCTGGGAGAGGCAGGTACTATCTGAAAATGTTTGAATATGGATATGTTTCAGATCCTTTAATAAACATAATGGTCATTTAATTCAGAGAAGGAAAACATATTTCACGATCTTCAATATATTATTTTTGCTAACATAGCTGTTTGCTTCCCTCAACTACTTTGAATCTTGTGTGTGTTTCCTTTGATGATGGTGTAAGAGTGCATACTCTGAAATGTAGGAAGGATTGTGCCCTTATTCTAGTCAGATGCATTGGGAAGAAATGGAAAACCTATTATAATTTTTTCATTCTCTTTCATTTGTTTTCCTATGGGAGATGCATGCCTCCCTACAATTCTCCTGGCATTTGGAAGCAGCATCATACTTGCTAAGGATCAGTACTCCTGGTAGACGTCTTTCCTCCATGCCCAGGGCAACAATAGCAGCAGTTCTCTGCAACACAAGTCACTCATCAAATCCTTGGGTAGCAAAGCTGACAGCTTGTGTAGTAGGGATACCCTGAGCGCAAGGATTGCTAACCATTAGTGTTTTGACTGGACACATTCAGCTCCAAAATGGATTTGGACATGGAGACAGGGAAACAAGATTAAGAGCATCCCATTTCAAAACTCTGGGCAGTCAAAAAGGTTATAAATGCTGAGAAAAAACGTACTTAAAAATGACTGCACATTGTAAGCTAAGCACTAAACACACTTGCACAGTGGATGCTGTGACTATATAATGATATAATCTGAATTTTGCCCTGTTTCTGCTTACAGTTATCATTTATCACTGTTAGCAGAAGCCAAGAGTTTCCTAAGAGTTACCTTCCTGCCACCATGTGGTTAAACAAGCAGAACTCCAAGCGTGTCCCACAGAGCCACCACACTTCCCTCTAAAATGTGCATTGCATCCCCTACTCCCCTAGCCCTCTACTTAGGGTAGAGGCTTACCAAGGTAAACTCCACAAAGCGAGTGCTAGCAGGCCATTTTCTCTGGAAAGTCAAGTAACTATTCCCCTGGGACAATGTATCCCAAAAGAACCATGGAAAAGGGGCATTCATGGATGGCTACAGAGACTTTAGTTCCCCATGGTGAGCTCAGTTTCCCGAGATGCTGTCTCTGATCAAGCATGTTTTTAGGCAAGGCTTAGGCAAGCAAACTGTTTTTTAAACTGCTCATAATCCAGGATGGATAGAATTAATTTTATTATAGGAAATAGCAATTAGTTGTTAATATGTTCTGGCTGGAGACAACCCAGAACCAAAATCTTTCCTGTCTTCACACTTAAAGATGTTTATCTCTAGAAATAAAATTTCCTATGTCATCTGTAATTTTTGGGTTAGCTTCTGTATCCCATTTCGTTTTCATGAACTAGGTAGTGGTAGTTTCTTTCCCTTCTTTAGGAACTAATATACATTGGCCATTCTGTCATGATAGACACATAAAGAGGAAGGCAATTCCTTACAGGAAAGCATCTGCAGTTCCTTGGCGATTTTGCTAGGTTGATCCTGCTCTAAAATTCCTATGGCTTATCTCCACTGAGATAATTAAAACATTTAAACATGCACCTCCAGGTACTGCTGTTTGAGAGGCTCGTTTGAGTAATTGTTCACAGGTCTCTGCTTCAGAGTCATGCAGAGGGAGCAAGGCCCCACTCTAGGACCACACGCTGCTTTATGTTGACAAACCTCAAAGACAAATGCCAATGTCAGAGGCAGGAACTACAGTGGGAATGTAAGGAGATCTTCAGGAGCAGACAAGGCAAAGGGAGAAAAACAAACCCCCACACAATATGAAGGTACTTTTAATGTGACTTGCACATACAGTTTGTTAACTGCGATAGGAACAGAGACAGAGGAATTGATCCTGTGACACTCATTGCATATAGCACAGTACTCATTACTCTGAGCAATCAATAACTGCATGCATGACTTGCAATTATAAGCATTACATTCGCGGTAAATATTTCTGGACCAGGTCTCTAAATGCTAAGGCTCTGGGTTTCAATTAATGTGAAATAAATACTTTAGACTTGTGACTCATAGTTAATTCAAACCCGTATTCAAAACTAACCATTCTATAAATTAGTAAATACAGAATATCTAGGAAATTGCTACCATGGCTCCTTTGAGAGCTCACAGAAAAGGCAGCATCTTTAGGACACAGAAAGCATCTGAAGAAGTTTGGAAAAGTAGATTCTGCTACTGTCTCCTAGGCATTTCTTTTTGTTCATAAGACACCAGAACAGTTTAAGGATTTGTAACAGAAAGCTTGAGTCATTAATTGTACAGGCTGGCTGAAAAAGAAGCCACTGTATTCCCAGAAACCTCTTGAATTACTGTAATTAACACCCAGTGTACCAGGTTTCTTTTGCAGATTTAATGATTGTCAGAGGCTACTACACCTTTTTCACATTGTATCTTTGTTCAGCACCTATAATTTTATGTTGTTTTTCTTCTTCCCTTCTCCTCTTAGACCAACAAACAGTTTAGGGACTTGTATATCCTACCTCTCTTTATAGCTTTGATAAAATAAGCAGGTCACCTCTGAATTCCTTACCAGTACAAAATGCTTTGATTTAGTACTGCTTCCTGAATATTGAGGCAAAAATGAAATGAGCTAATAATAGTGCCACAATGATAATTTTCAGCAACACAGGAATAGAACTCCTTTTCTCTCGATGCAGTAAACATGAGGAAGGAATAAGAGCAGAACTACTTATCTCCACTTTTACAGTCCTTCCATTTGCCTTCTAACCCATCAACTTTAATAATATGAATAAGAATAATGACTCTTGCCGCTTTTCAAGCAATAACAGAGGTCTCAGCTGTCCATTTGTCCAGTTTTTCAACACACAGATTCAGTTTTCATCCTGTCTTGAGACATATCACTTGATAAATGCCTGCAAAACCACCATCACTCTGATGTCTAGCAAAACTTCTATAATGTTTGGAGACATGCTGCATTGCGATTGCATTGTGATTGCTCCTTATCACCAACTGTTGTTTCTCTCATCAGTACCACAGGGTCATCCTGTCTCTCTGTAGTATTCTTCTTTTATTTTATGCTTAAGTTCTTTGGGGCTGGGAACTGCCTCTAGTTTTATATGGCACCCTACAAATCAGAATGCCACAATGGAAATTAATTCTACATAACTAGTAATAATAATCCATAGAAGCTGGGTTTACCACCTGGAATCTCATTCATTCTCTCAGGACAACAGGAAGAAGGACAGAATTCTATTAAGGAAGCAAATACAAAATCAACTCACACATGTGAAATGAGCACTTGGAGAAAAACAAATATGTACTTAAAAATATCTTCAAACCAAGAGTTAGGTATTTTCTCAAATGTTTCCCCAAGAGAAATAAAAAAGTACATTGAGCTGCTTTTTCTCTCTTTTTTTACCAGCAAAAAACTTACTCACAGGCACAAAATTAATTATCCTAAAAGGAGGGCAATAATCAGGTTTCAAGAATTGTTATATTGATGAAATGAAGAATAAATCTGGAAAGAGATACAAAGTAAATTTGCTGAATTTTTCTTGAAACAAAGATAAGAGTCAACAAGGCATCTAGTGTGTCCATTGTGTATTTGTGAGGACTGTCACTCACATGCATATGTGGTCTAAAAAGAAAAAAGCAAAGCTCATGCTTCATAAAATCTTGGTGTAACATCTGAGGAACATCATTCAGGAGAGACAGGACTATAATCTCCCAGACCTGTAGTTTTGGTTCCAAGGGGAAAAAAGACTCAAGCTTTCAATATTTAGTTCTTGATCAAAAGAGGATACTAAAGCATGCTGGGCATGAACTTTGAAGAGGAAGTCCTCTCTCTAATTTGTTGATCCAGGAGGGATTGCACTCGGAAACATCAAGGCTAATCAGAGAACTGATAGCAAAATAAGCAGCTCCTTCACCTTCCAAGAATTCCCATCATCCTTAAGCTGGAGTTCTTTGAAAAATGTTAGTAGATTGGCCCAGTTCACTTTCATGTTTGCATCCCTAAGTGATTTCAAATTAAGTATATTCAGCATTTTCATCTAGTTGCCAACTCTTTTTTTTTTATCCTAACCTCTGTGAGTAAGACAGGCTTTTTTCCTTCCACATTACCATCAATAGAAGATTCCACTGTAAGTTAGGCTGCCAACTAGATTTTGGTATCGCTTTTGCCACTGGGTTAGATATTCTGTGGCTTTACAGCAAGACTTCAGGTGCTTTTCATTTGTTTTTAATAATCTGAAAATATACAGCGGAGCATACTAGTTATATTTTCAGCCTCTGTTGTACCTCATGCAGTGGGAGCTACATAGTTAGCAATATATCAGCAAGATAATTAATGCCAGATAATGTTAATTAATGCGTCTGTAAATGCATTTGTTGTCAGCCATACCCCAAACGAGCCATTAGACTAGGCAGATATTATGGAATTCACCCAGGAAAAGAACATTTTCATAAAATCTTAGCGTTTTCACACAGTAGTGATACACACAACTCTGACTGTGAGTCTGGAACCTGGACTTTGTCAGAACTATGAAGACTGTCAGGTTGACTCTGCCTAGGGCCCTCTCTGCATGTGCAGCAAGGCTGATGATTCCCAAATATGCCAGTCCTATAGCTCATGTACAGAGATGTACAAATTCCCCAGAAGAAGTTCTTGTATAGCTGTATGTCTCACTGGGCACACACGGTAGATTTGATGAGTATGTGATCTGTAAAAGCTTGTCATGAATTTCAAGGTAAGTGATAGTCCTGGAGTTGGATATTGAGAAGGCTTATAGATCATCGCTTGAAATAGAAGAGTGATAGATTACTGCTAAAAAGATTGTTTTTCCCATAAATCCATGCAATCGTCAGGTCTGATTTCATTCATGGTCTCACACTCTTAGCCAAAGTTTTTTTAGCTTATAATTAATGTCACTTTGAAGGTTTTTTGGTTACATTGTTTTCTTTCCCCTCCCTTTTTTATGATTTTCTAGTGGAAAAAAAAAAAAAAGAAAAAGTACTGAATGTAGATCAAGTCTTCTTCCAGATCAACTCTTCCTTTTATTGCATGGCTATTCTAAAGACTAGTGGAAAAGAACCTTTTAAAATCTCAATTTTTTTCAATTAAAAAAAAAGTCTGTATGTAGTTACCTTGTGCATCCCTACTGTGTGTACTTAAAATTTATTTTGAAAAGATCAAACCTTAGAAATATGCATGACAATCTCTGTAGACTGATGAAAAGTTTCAAAATTACATGTTATATATTAAGTTTTTTACAGGTTTTGCATATGAAGGAAATATGTTTATATCTGCACTGAAGATACATACTTCGGAAGACTTTTTGCATCTGTTTCATGGCCATAATAATGTTTACAGACCACTGTCAAATGCATTGAAATAGACAGATGAAGTAATATGAGTTCAAATGATTATCGCTT